AGTGGTAGAGCGCTAGCCTTGAGCTGAAGAGCTGAGGGACAGCACCCAGGCCCAGAGTTCAAGCCCCATGACAAAATACACACACACACACACACACACACACACACACACACACAAAACCACTGTGAAGTTGGACAGCCTCAGAAGGATTTAAGTTCCCCTAAAGAGTGGTGACATTATTCTAGGCACTGAGAGAAATCAACTGTGCAATAAAGGTGGCGGTATAGTGATACTAAAATCAGAGGCACATTTAATTTTGTACAGATACATACGCTGTAGCACATGACAACCTGATGATTGGTGAATCAGCTGCCAGAGACTCCCTTATGAAGCTAATTAAACAGTATAAGGATTAGTAAATGGACCAATTTAAAGCAGTTTGCTAATAGTGCTACAGGAATGTTAAATAAATAATAATAGTAATAAAGGCATAATTAATGGTGCATAAGCCAGGGAACTAAGGGATTGAAGCCTTAGTCTTGGCCAATTTTCTTTGTGAGCTTCACTGAGTAATTTACGTTCCTAATTAATATGAATAAATATGAGTGGAGGTTAGTATTATGAGTCCGAGCAGCTGAAGACTTAGGGTGCAATTGACTGCTAAATGTGACTGATTATGAATAAATGACTCAATTTTTATTGTATTCTTGATGTGCAATGCTTCATATTTGTACAAAGAGCCACCCACTCTTTATCACAAGGATATAAGAATGGATTAATCAAATTGTTTTGAGCTTTTAAAATAACAGTTAAGGAAGTGGCACTGTGGCTCAAAGTGGTAGAACACTGTCTTTGAGCAAAAAAGCTCAGGGACAGTGCTCAGGCCCTGAATTCAAGCCCCATGACCAACTTTAACAACCAAAAAAGAGTCATCATAATACAAATTGTCTAAAATTTGTATTAGCATAATAAATACTTAGTTATTCCAAAAACAATACTCAATACCTCCTCCCTAGCAGTGGTAATAATAGTATATTAAACTCATTCTTTTGTTTTTCATAGACTTTTCATCTTTAAAAACAATTTCATAAACATTAGCTGAGAAAGCAGCTATATGTGTAATCGAACCACTCCTTCTACAGGTATATAAAGTATGGATTTCTGTTGCAAGAAATACTCTTATCTTCTTCCTAGTGACATTAATATATTCCTTTTATTTATACAGATTTTTCACTTTGTTCAAAAGCACTTTTTTTTACTCTTTTTTTTTTGCCAGACCTGGGGCTGGAACTCAGGGCCTGGGCACTGTCCCTGAGCTTCTTTTGCCCAAGGCTAGCACTCTACCACTTGAACCACAGTGCCACTTCCAGCTTTTTCTGTGTATGTGGATACTGAAGAATCGAACCCAAGGCTTCATGAATGCTAGGCAAACACTCTACCACTAAGCTACATTCCTAGCCCTCAGAAGCACTTTTACATATATTAACTGGGCAAGTGGTACTAGGAATGATCTATTTACATAATCCCAATGGAATACTCCAAAAAAAGAAAGAACTAAAATTTGATAAATAAGCTAATTTTGAGGTCCTTGAATGTGGATTAAGACTTCCATAAATTCTCAGAATCAGAGCAACCACCAGGACAAATTAACTGATTTTCCCTTTCTTTTAGATAGAGGCTTAAAGAAGCAGTGGAACCATGGTTAAAATACATGTATGGAGACAGATGCTGGTGGCTTACTCCTGTAATCCTAGCTACTCAGGTGGCTGAATCCTGGAGGTCTCATTTTGAGGCCCATCCAGGCACAAAGCCTTCAAGATTCCATCTCCAACCAACCAACAGAAATACTGGACTAGGGGCATAGCACAAGCAGTTGAGCACAAGTCACAAGCAAGAAAGCTAAGCAAAATTGTGAAGCCTTGAGTTCAAGCCCCAATACTGGCAAACATACAAAAAAAGACATAAATATGAGCATAAGAGAAGAAATAAAATCTATCTTGTTCACTGTTGTTAATCTTCTGTATTAAATATAGTTCTAAAGAGTAGTAAATGCAATTTATTACTATTACTAAAGAGAGAACATTCTAATCAAATTCTCACAGAATATTTGCTCAAGAGCTAAAAGCAAAAAAATCTCAATTTTTGTTTTGTTGCTTTTCCTCCACAATTACCGTTGTTTTTTTTTTTTTTTGGGGGGGGGGTCCGGTCATGGGGCCTGAACTCTGGGCCTGGGCACTGTCCCTCAGCTCTTCAGCTCAAGGCTA